GTTTACGTAATTCATGCCTTTATTAGAAGATTAGAAGAGGTGTGATCGCCAGATGCATCCCCTTCTATCGAAGTTATGAATCAATATGAAAATCATATATGAGAACTTTTCAGGCTCTCTTTTCGAAACTGCAAAAGTTGAGTCTATAATTACGATGATCCTCTTTCACTATAATTCCCCTTATATCGCCACAAATGTGACTTTTAGGGTATTACCGTACATGAATTGCATTAAATATATATTATTAAGAAGATAAATAATCTTTGACAGGAAGTGACATAAATACTTTGTTCGGAAGCAAATCCGCCTAGTTTCGGCTCTTGAATCTTGGACCCTACCGTGAGCTGTGACGTCAGACAACGGGGCAAAAGAGAACGGCCTAGGGACTAGACTGCAAACAAATAATTGATATGTTCAGCAAAAAGATCACGTAAATCATTCTACTCATTCGATTGATGTTTTTATGCAGTTCAAGAGATACAAGTACATGACAAGCCTAAGTATAAAGAGTTTGCGTTGCTTTCAAGATCAATCTTACTATGTATTGAACAAATTCTGTCGCGAGATTTAAGAACACAGCATTTTTATTCCCCAGACTACATACCACGATGAGGAATCACTAGCGGTACTTATAAAAAGAAAAAAATGCAAAATATAGGTGTTCGGTTATTTTTTCATAGAGGTTTTGCATCCTGTAAATTTGACTTTCTGCAACAACACTGAATTTCCACGCCAATTTACCAAGATCGGACGAAACACTTCTGAACAATAAGAAATTAAAACTGACTAATAAGGAAAATTACAATGAGTCATGTCTTCAGCTAAATCACAAAACTGGTGTCCCATAACTAGTAGAGATCGCGTTGCGGCTGAAAATCCATATCACAAATTCAAAGTACCATTATTTTTCTGAACTCTATGTGAGCCGACTTTTGATGCGAGTCCATCTCAAGGGTATTGTTCTGTTAATTTAATTGTAAGGAAAAGGATTGTTGTTTCGTCTTTGAGGCTTTCGAGATATCAGTTTGTCCTGTCAACAGAACTTTAGCAACGAAGTCTACAGAAACTACCGAGCTCCTATGATGGAGTCTCTCTCAACAAAGTTAATAGCTCAGTTATACCACAATCCAAGTGAAATCAATCGGTGGCAGACGGTTGTAATGAACGCCATTTTATTTTGGTATTGGATCAGTGAAACAGCAAAAAAAAAGATAAAGAAAGAAAAGAAACAAACAAAAACTTAATATTCTAAAGACGATTTTGATATGATCTCAGTATTATGACATTGCAAAGAAGGTTAAATGCTGTTGTTTATAAAAATAACTTTCCAGTTGCGATCAATTGCCATAAAGTATCTACAATACCTTATAGTTTTTTTCTTTCTAATTTTTGTTTTTGTTGTTTTGCAGCATATTTTTTTTCGCCGACTGATTCTTGTTTTAGTCGATGGAAGTTAACTAACCTGAATAACTTCCCAAACTCAGTTGATATTTCGCTCTCTCGCTTGTCAAAGAAAAGGAGCTGTACTCGGCAAATGCAGTTTTTCCATTAATGTCTTTCAAGTCGATACGAAGTTTATAACCACCGCTTACAGTCAGCCGATGAATCTTGTCCAAACCGAGCCAGAACTCACCGTTCAGATTGCCAAAACCCTCTTTTGTAATCATCCCAAGTGTGGAAGTAATCAACAGAGCCATCTCGCCTCTTCTGAAACACCGTCCAACCTCCACCGGCTGTTTTCTGATCACAGAACACTTCAAATTCGCCCAAACCACCAGGATTGGTTTTATACACTCCACTGATCTTGTCACCGGACTTGTAGACATCAGCACAGTTCTTGTAAACTGAAAACAAAATGACGAACGATAATTGTTGTTTTTGGTTTTTATAGGCCTTATATTCTTCGAGAATGCCTTCAATAATTTTTTGACAAAATGTCTTATGAAGAACTCATAAAATAAGAATAGTATTTCCGTAACATTTTGCAAGGGGTCTTGAAGGTATTTTAGAGAGACATTAATGACTAAATGAGGATCCACTTTATTTATTTGTAGCACAAATTATGTTGAAGCCAATCCTCAACAAGAGAACAGTTTTGTTTTCCTAAGTCCGTTCCATTCCTTTTTTGTAATTTGTACTCCCAGAATGCTTAGTGAGCGCGTCTCAGTGTTGTCGGGTAGCGAGAAAGAAACCATGTGCTTTGTAACGAGCTAGTCGCCGGGAGTATGGTGAGTCTTAGGAGCTCGTGTATTTCCAAATCCCGTTCCAACAGTGATTAAGTGTTTGTTTTGTAGGTTTTATACTTGCGAGGTGAAGCTTGTTAGCCAAAGATGAGACTCCAATTCCGATCCTGTTGTGTTGTGAAGAAAATATGCTGCGTGTGCAACTCTCGATTATTTTGTCCCCTGGACAAATTAGGTTGCTGTTACAAACCTTTCCTGTTGCCAGATCCGGTAGTTTTATTTTCTCTCAATGCTCTGATTTCTTGTCGTATTCCCTCTAGTTGTTGCTCGATTTTCTCGCAGTTTGGTCCAGCGTAGAAGCTGTTGTAGTTATTATTCACATTACAATGAGATTCCTTCGTCGGTTTTACCGTAGAGTTGGAGAGTGCCGAGATGAGGCAAGTTAGCAGGATAGTTCCAAAGGAATATTTCATCTTATTAACGTTTATTACTCCTTAGTATCAGTAGTTTTGGCAATCGAAAGAACTATCCTACATGTACAATGGACAAAGAGTTAGGGAAGAAATGATACTAAAACTTCCGGAGAGGCTTCGTATTGCTGCTAATTTTTTAAGACAAGATTTTTCTCGTCTATGTATCTTTAGTGAGGGTTTCGTCATCTAATTATTATTATCACCAATAACGCCTTAAATTATTCAACATTAGCATAGAGCATCGTGTGGTGGTAAATTAAATGATCTTGTCTGGGCGTCGATGTGTTTTTCTTGTCGAGGAATTAATGGCGTACTACCTTAAAATTTCAGTTTTAATCTTCGTGTGGAAGTGGAAAATAGTGATAATGACATATTTTTGTTAGTTTATGGAAGAGTTGTAATAACAATTTCAGCAATTGCTACAGTCCAGTATTGTTAAACCACTGTCAGTATAGGTGGATAAAGATGAATCTCTCTGTGTTTTCACTGTCAGAATCCCCAGTGGGAAGGAGTAGGTGGATAAGGAAAGAGAGCACGCTTTAAGTTAACTTATTAAATGCCTTAACCATTCGTGTGTAGCCTGCAAATACAACCGCCTCTTAGTGCTCCCTCCCTTCCGCTGGGACTTTTTGTGAATGGCGGGGAGCTATGAAAGACGGCTTTATTGACAGGGTAGCTCATGTGGAACCCAGACTGAGCGGATAAACGCAAAAACGCAAGTACTGCTGCACACCTGCGCTTCCTATAACATAATTCAATATTTATTGAATTTTGGCGAGACCAGCTACTCTCACAAAAAAAATGCCGAAAGGCAACTCGTGGAAGCAATGTTTACATAAAAACTGGTGTGTAAAAGTTTACTAAAGCGCTTTTTATTTGTAAGTTTTGATTTCCGCAACAGCCATTTTATTTGACTTCGCAAAATTTGACACAGATTTCCGTGGGCCAAACTGGACGATTTCGAAGACTATGCTTGATAAGCAAACTTCTAAGCAAAACAAATGACTTTTTTCTCCTCTGGTTCGTGATAACTGGCAAGTAACACAATCTATCACAAGACAACCGAGTATTGAATCATGAATTCAATTACTAGCTCCTTTTCCGACGGAAAAGCACTTCCCTGTCGTCAATTGAGGGAAAAGCGGATGGGTAATGGAAGATAGGCTCCTGGGTGCATAGAAGACAAAAGGAGAATTCTAAGGACAAACCAGGAAGTCACTAATTTTTACAAGTGATTAAAAATATTAAACTGAGGAAAAGTGCGCAAGGTATTTTTAATTTCTATTTCGGTCAGTAAATAATTCTATTGTTAAGTTTTACGTTATTTTCCAGTTCATAAACTACAAGGAAAAGTATTCAGAGTCTGCTTTCAAAAATTCAAAATTGTTACTTATCAACGCTCATAATTTCATACGCGCGTGCCGCACATGGAATGTTCTGCCCACTGAGTTACGCTCAAGTCACATCTCTCACTATTTCAATATTACAATAGGGCTCTGGACCTGTACGACGTTGACGACATCAGAACCTGGAGAACAATCTGTCCCAGGTACAACATAGCGAGGACTCTCCTGTGCTCGCCGACGCGCTGATTCTAGCAATTTGAACTTCTGTTTTGTTTTCTTTTTTAACGATTTTTTTTATTAACGAGGGATCCACTGTAATTGGCTATGCTGTAATGGTCTCCCTGCCTAACAATTTTTATGTATTCATGTATGACTAGCCCTTGGCGTAGTTAGTCACATCGGAATGAGCATCATTCATCGGTTTTTCTGTCAAGCCGTGCAAGTGCCGTGATGAGGTAAGCAAACAGGATAGCCCCGAAGAAATATTTTACCTTGTAGCAGTTTTCGGAGTAGCCTCCCATGCAGGCGCTTTTAGGGGAGCTCGTATATATTTTGGGGAGGGACGAAATACGAGCTCCCCTGAAAACGCCTGCGTAGGAAGCTATTTTCGGAGAAAAGGTTCCACACCTTAGGATTTTAGCCACAGACTCAAAACTTAGAACCAGTTGTACACAGCTCATGAAAAACAGCGCCACAGCAAAGTCCTGCAAACAAGCATTCATTGGCTGGGTTAAAATGCAATCCGGCTTTTCATTTCAAACAGTTTAGATAAATACAACTTTTCAAGTGATTAATGTTTTTATTGAAGCACCTCTATCACAGTGTACTGGTTAATTAAAAACGAATGTAACTCAGAATCATTAAACTGCATGGCGTTTTTCAATACATTTGTCTGGCAGAAGATTACTTGATTTTAACTTCATTGAAAATATTTATTGTTAGAATATCAAGACCTCAAGAGACATACGCTTTACTTAGCACAAAGTGCCAGAAATATCTCAAAAATCTTTTGGACGTATCTTCATCTCAGTTTTCTTGACAGAGTAGCAGCCACCCTTCGGCCAATTGAGCCAGCGCATTCCTTTACAGTCGTCCTTGCCGTTGAGGTACTGTCCATTCAGGTTGGAGTGGTGACAATTTTTGTACCACCAGGCGCCTTTACGACCCAAGGCACAGTTGCTACTCCACTTGTCATTATCACGATCCTTGGTGGAAAATGACATACCACGATGATAACCAAGTGCATCACCAGCGGTTCCTACAAAAAGGGGGGAAAAGCGAATAATAGGTCTTAGATTTCCCGGTTTTCTTTCGCAGAGTTTTTCAACCGGTCAATTCCACTTCTGCATACACAATCTCAGTCCAGTTAAATTAATCCAAACTGGAAGAAACACTTCTTGTTTTTTTTTTAAAACAAAATTAAATTAAAAAGTCCTCCGAAGGGTCTTAAGACCTCCTTAAAAGGAACATGAAAGATCACATTTGGTAAAGTTACGAAACCTGTGGAGATCTTGTACTTGCTGATAATTCAGTGAAATACCCTAATTTCTGAACTCTCAAGACATGGGCCACTCCTTTTTAAGCTGGCCCCCTAGAGTATTTATTAATAACCCTAGCAATCTAGGATACGTTACAAAACGAAATCTAGTTACTTTATCTTTGCGATTTGGTTCACGAAATTCACCGCTAAGTTTACCCATGTAAAAAGGCTCCTTTACAAAGTTTCATTTTCTGGATTAAGGCCGTTGCCACGGCAACATCGCATCCTTAAACAGGCAGTAATTTTGTCATTTTTGATCACTTTTTCTTAATATTTCTTATTTCCCTCCGTGAAATGTCTTTAAACTTTGCCACTTTATATTAACGATATTGCTTAACATTTTAAAGTGGAAACAAGAACGCTCTTAGTAGCGTTGATTCTCGCTTGCTTGGAGATGAGTTTCGTTGTCAAAGGCCCCGGTGCCGTTATACTACTTTTTCGTTTGGAATAGAAAACGATTGTTGTATGTCATAATGTATATACTCAAAAAGTAAAAATTGTAAGGAGAGACAGGCCACAGCCTCAAACCGGTGTGAAAGCACAGGAAAAAATGCTGAACAGAACCTTATACAACACACAGCTAATTCAGTTCGCCCGTATTCCTGTTGAATTTGTTGTCCGTTTTATAAGATATCAATATCGCATGAAAGTAATGACATTTTCCATAGCTGCTTAGTATCTACTTTTAATATCTCCGTACAGTCTCAGAGTACAATGTTTAGAGTTGTACACTGCATGCATTTTAGATAGATAGATAGATAGATAGATAGATAGATAGATAGGCAGATAGACAGACAGACAGACAGACAGACAGACAGACAGACAGACAGACAGATAGCTAGCTAGCTAGATAGATAGATAGATAGATAGATAGATAGATAGATAGATAGATAGATAGATAGATAGATAGATAAATAGGTAGGTAGGTAGGTAAAACAATCACTGACTCAGACAGACTCGGATCAGTTTACTTGAATTTAGCGTTCAGTACAGGGAAGGGGGTTATGTTATGTGAAATTTATCTACAGTCTGCGGCCCACATCATCACTGATCCACGATTTATTTATTTATTTTATTTTCAAGTTCTTTTTAACCGATCCTTGATCCCTGATTTCTCGATCCTGATTTTCCAGTAAACCTTGAAGTTTTGCTCATTAAGATTATTCTGTTTTTTCGACCACTGAGGTGATCAGTTGTTCCAAAATAATCAACGCTTTCAAGCCATAGAATTCTTGGACCAAACCGTTCCGGAAAGGCTCGACAGGGGATTTCTATTAACTATGGACATGAAGTGCTGCAAGTAGAGTGTGCGGTTAGTCAAGTTCAAAGCTACCCGTATACAGCTATCTCGAGGAAGGTTGTCGAAAAAAACGTGCACCCGATAATCCCGAGCGGTAGTATTGGATACGATCAATTCACTGTTCCTGACACTGTAGCTGGTTACTTTCCTTTAGCACTCGCAAACATATATCCATGGCCTCTCCTGCCATTCTCTCAAATTTCTTTGAAGAACAGTGAACTCAAAACAACCCACAATACCATTCGGGATTGTCGCGCGCACTTTTTCCGACAACCTTTCTCGAAATTGCTGTAAAAAAAAAAACACATCCGTGACACGTTAGGGTGGATTTCCACTGATGCGTTTTTGGCTTCGCACGTTAACGCACATAGATTTTAATCACGTAAATCAAATAGAGGTAAGACATAAAGTATTGAGATTAAACGTCAAATTAAGCGAGTTTCTACTCTTACGCTTACCTAATTGTACGTGCAGCCTTTCATACATTGCCTTTATTTTATTTGCGAACGCAAATTAAACGCACGTGCGCACGTAAAAATTACGGGACAGTGGATACTTCATATCTCAAGTATTCATGAAGTGCAACACGACTTCACATCGTAACAACAGCGAAAATCTATCAATTAAATACATAAAACAAAGTGAAACTATTTAACCGTACATTTCCTGTAATTGCGACAATATTCTGAGAAACGTAACGCCTTAAAAAGCCACAAAATTCCTGAGGATTTCCCCGCTATAATATTTTCTCATCCTGCTTGGGGATGTGCCTGCATGTCGTGCATAATTACACGAAAATCAATTGCAAGGGCCTCCATTTGAGGAAAATTACGTCATTGCCAAACTTACATGCGTCATTTCAGTCATCGCCGAAATAAACTGCATTCTCATCACGGGACTCATTTCCATAAAATGAAAGTCGTCACGATTCTTATCCCCAGTTTCCAGTTTTTTTAAACAATGTGATAGAGTCGGCAAAACAAAACAAATATTACACTTGCTGTAATCTTGCCTTCATGAAGCCACTTCTAGAATTTCTTAATCAAATCAAATGTAAGAGAAATGAAGTGACCGAGGAGCGCCGCCGGTGAAGACATTCTTCAGTGGTTGTTCGGGACTTGGCTCAATCTTTCAGATCTTTCCACTGACCGTGAACCAAAGGCCAGAAAGGGTAACATTGCTTCCTTTAGGGTTAGTGTACTTATTTCTTTGTTTTCTTTGTAAAGTTTCCATTCACCATTTACTTCGACTATTTTACGTCTGTCTGCTTTTGAAGCGAAAGAATTGATCTCTGTGGAAAATTTCTGCTTCGTTTTTACATACAATTTACTCTTATGGAGATCGATAGTGACTTGTAACCGGTGTAATTTAACATTGTCTTTTCTCATAAATGTTTGACCTACAACAGAAAGTTCATAAAGTTTTTGGGGGTGAATACTTTGAAACTGAGAGGCCATGTTTGTTTTGTTTCTGCGTGGAGGTCGCGCGGATTTCAAAGCTCGTGCCATACTAGTGCTCAGGCTGCGCACGGCCAATTTACTCTAGGGAGCCACCTTAAACTTTTCGATATAATCTAATATGACATTACAAATATAGGTCAACTGTTGTTGTCAAAATTAATCAACTAACAACTTTCACAGTCCAATCGCGATCAATTGGGCAAGAAAAAAATCTTATTATCTTTCTTTCTTTTTTCCTTCTGTTATTGTATTTTCCAATTTACAACATTTTTCGCCGACTGATTCTTTTTCAGTTTAGTGTATAAACTTACCTGAATAACTTCCCAAATTCAGTTGATATTTCGCTCTCTCGCTTGTGACAGAAAAGGAGCTGTACTCGGCAAATGCAGTTTTTCCATGAATGTCTTCCAAGTTAACACGAAGTTTATAATCACCGCTTACAGTCAGCCGATGTATCTTGTCCAAACCGAGCCAGAACTCACCGTTCAGATTGCCAAAACCGCGTTTGTAATCATCCCAAACGCGGAAAAAATCAACAGAGCCATCTCGCCTCTTCTGAAACACTGTCCAACCTCCACCGGCAGTTTTCTGATCACAGAACACTTCAAATTCGCCCAAACCATCAGGATTAATTTTATACACACCACTGATCTTGTCGCCGTACTTGTAAACTTCAGCGCAGTTCTTGTAAACTGAAAACAAAATGACGATCCGATAATTATTATTTTGTTTTTATAGGCCTTATATTCTTCGGGAATGCCTTCAATAATTTTTTGATGAAATTGTCTTAAAACTTATAAAGAACTCATAAAACAAGAATGGTATTTCCGCGACATTTTGCGAGGGGTTTTGACGGTATTTTAGTGAAGTATCGATGAGGATCCACTTAGTTTGCTCATCTACAGTACAAATTCGATCAAATTATATCAAATTAAGTTGTTGTTACAAACCTTTTCCGTTACTGGACCCAGTAGTTTTATTTTCTCTCAATGCCCTGATTTCTTGTCGTATTTCCTCCAGTTGTTGCTCGATTTTCTTGCAGTTTGGTCCGGCGTAAAAGCTGTTGTAGTTATTATTCACATTGCAGTGAGCTTCCTTCGTCGGTTTAACCGTAGAGTTGGCAAGTGTTGCGATAAAGTAAGCGAACAAGATAACTCCAACAAAGTATTTCATCTTAACTCTTATGAGCAGTTTTGGGAAAGAACGTGGTCTTACAATGGCACTGAAAAATTTAGAGAAAAAATGCTACAAAGCCTTCCGCAGAGCCTTGCTACAGTGTTGTGAAGTATTTTGAGGTTATTTTAAGTTTATTTCGTGTTTGTGCTTGACGTTTCGCTCGTGACTAGAGTCTTGTTATGATCAGTTTATAGATCAAGGTTAATCCGTCAGATCCGTATTTTGTGTCGACAGGTTTTCAAATTCTATTACCTTTTGAAGTAGTTTTTCAACATGAATGTCATTTATTAAATTTGATTGTCAGTCCTTGAAGTGGGCACGTTTTGGAACCGTCGCTGACCTTGATTTTTACCTACATCAGAGTTCCTGTTTTGGTGTAAGGTAGAGTCTCGTGGGTTTAGCTGTCACGCTTTCATTGGTTTTCTTATGGGTTTGTTTATTCCACTTTGGTTATCAACAGGAAATTCGTTTAAGTCACTCGGAAAAGCGTTTGTAACTGTCATGGTCAGCAAGCCTAAACGTACCTACGTTTTACTCATTTAAGTTGCAAGTGTTTAGCACAAGGGGGTGAGCAGTTGAGATAAGTTACAGTTAGTTGTTTAGCAGAATTCGTTAAGTGATGCTGTAAACAAGACATAAGAGCTCCTGTAAAGATTAAAGAACAACAAGATGTAAACTCTGATACCTGGTACCTCTACGCTCAGCGAGCGAGTTGCTCGTAAACCCCCTACAATAAGTTCTAATTTTTAGACAAGATATTTCTTGTCTGTGTATTTTTAGTAGGTGCTGTGTCATCTATTAAAACCAATAAAATGATGTAAGGTGGCTCCCCAGAGTATTTGCTAATAATCCTAGCTATCTAGCATACGTTACAGAAGGAAATCTAGTTACTTTGTCTTTGCGATTTTGTTCACAAAATTCACCGCTAAGGTTACCCATATAAGAAGGCTTCTTTGTCAAATTAAGGCCGTTGCCATGGCAACACGGAAGCGTAAGCCAGGCAGCAATATTGTCATTTTTGATCATTGTTTCTTAATATTTCTTATTTCCCTCGGTGAAATGTCTTTAAACTTTGCCACATTATATTAACGATATTGCTTAGCATTTTAAAGTGTAAAACACATGGGGTCGTCAAGACGTTTTTTCAATATTTTGAAATTTGTAATTTTCCTCAATAGAGGAGGTTAGCTCTTACAGTTTTTAACAAAAAAAGGACGGTATAAAGGTACTGCAACTGTTAAGAAATGAGGCGATTTTTAAAGAAATTTCCCGAAGGAAACGCGAGAAATTCACGATTAATTAACTGCGCTGACGTCACAAAAATCAGAAAAACACGCGTGGTTCGGGTTAGTATGAGCAAAATACGGGCGCGAGCCATCACGTCCGCATGCGCATAATACACATACATGAAAACATGTGGTTTCTTCGACAAGAACGAAACCCATGGTTAAAGCTGTTTATTACTATTATTACGGTGATATCTTTAATTGACAGTTGAAAAAGGAGAGATAGTGGATTCAATTTTATACCTAACATTGGATCTTTTCCTCGAAATACTTGACCCTTGTACCCAAAATTTGAGCCGAGGTGGTCACTCGTGCGGATGGCGATCATCGGAGGAGATGGAGACGGTGGTCGCGCAAGGATCGCAATAAGCCCTTCATTTCCTAATCTGCTGTACCGACTGTTTGCAGATCTTCAAATGCCAGCCCACTTCCGGATACTTTTTCAACCTTGTTCTTCTTTAGGGATAATTTCGACGGCGAAGTTTTTCTTTAAAAGTCTGCTGTAAAACATGGTGCCGATCTAAAAACGTACATCACGTCCTCAGCTGCAAGTACAAGACCGTAATTCTCGACGGACAACTTACTACTGCTTTCGTCAAGGGTCAATCTGTGACTTAAAAATTATTTTTCGTTGTGCAAACATTTTCCAGTACTGATCTTGATCGTTGAAGGGCTCTTGAAACAAGAAAAAGTACAAGGATGTTGGTTCGTCGATGCAAAGGTTCCTTCGATCAGGATGCAAGTTAAGTAGGACACCTTTCTTCTGATATTTTTTTAAACAATGTGATAGAGTCGGCAAAAAAAATTTACACTGCCTATAATCTTGCCTTAAAGCCACTTCTAGAATTTCTTAATCAAATCAAATGTAAGAGGAATAAAGTGACCGAGGAGCTCCGCTGGTGAAGACATTCTTCAAGTAATATATCAAACATGAGACGCAGTGTTTCATCACCAGATGAAACACCGAGAAGAGAGTTGAAAATACGACGCGCAGCGGAGTATTTTTGACGAACTTCGAGGTGTTTCTGTGAAGAGATAATTTATTGTTATTCAGTTATTTTGCTTTCGCTGATAAAAATATGAAAGGCCAATGTAGAAATCATTTATTCTTTAGTCTTAACTTCTTTTAGTCGTAAACAACCTATTGATTTATTGAGCGTTAACTTATTTGTCAAGTCATAATTGTATTTAGTCTTCAAAGTGTAATCAACCTGTAAGAAGCCGTTATCCACCTGCGTAGCTTTTGGAAGTAATTAATGTTTCAAAACAAGCTTAGGTTTCCACCAATAGTCTTGTAGAAATGATTGTTGTGCTCTGTAATTAGACTCGTTGAGTTGTGATGTAATCTGTATCGCTTCGCTAGCTTAGGCTTAAATACGAGTGCTTTGTAGGAGCTTCTTCGGTTACATCCAGGTCCAACTAGTCCTGGTTACGTCCTAGTTACATCCTCGTTGCATCTAACCTTGGGTGTATTTTGGTTGGTTATGTTTGTGACTGTACCCGCAGTATAGTCTTGGATTAAACCTCTACATTGGAGCCAAGTTCTGTTGTGATCATTGTCTCAAGGGTATTCAGTAGGCGTAAGAGATTCCGTGCCTCCCCGCAGCCAGCGAGTGTCCCCAGGAAAAGGCCTTTCCCAGAGAGTTTTAGAGTTTTCCCCGTCCGTCAGTTTACCCTTTTGTGAAGGCAAAACCTGTTTCCACACTGGTGTTAAAGTGAAAAATAGTGTTTTCACATTTCATCTGGTGATGAAACACTGTGTCGAATGTTTGATATTTCTTCTCAAACAAAATCATTTTTGAAGGAGAAATTAAGGATGCAAATACTGAGCAGTTTTTCATCCGATTTCCAAACACTCATTAAACATTAATTTTCTTTATAAAATATTAATGAATTTGAGAATGTTTGTTCACGACTTGGCTCGATCTTTCACATCTTTCCACTGAACCAAAGGCTAGAAACAGCAACATTGCTTCCTTTAGGGATAGCGTACTGACTTCTTTGTATCCTTTGTAAAGTTTCCATTCCGCATTTACTTCGACTATTTTACGTTTGTCTACTTTTGAAGGGAAAGAATTGATGTCTTTGGAAAATTTCTACTTTGTTTATATATACACTTTACTCTTATGGAAATCGATAGTGACTTGTAACCGGTGTAACATTGTCTCCTCTCATAAACTAACCAAACTTTTTGCTGAATGAGCTTCAACTGAAAGTTAACAAGTTTTTTGGGGCAATATTTCGAAACTGAGAAGCCATGAATGTTTATTTTTGCGTGGACGTCGCGCGGATTTTAAAGCTCGCGCCATACTAGTGCTCAGGCTGCGCACAGCCAATTTACTCTAGGAAGCCACCTTAACATTTGCATAGAACATCGCGTGGCCGAAAAATAAATATTTATTCATGCATCATCATGTATACTGGCATACTTTTGCGTTAGCGATGTTTTGAGAAACAGAACTCTGAAGAGTAAAATCTTAGGTTTAATTGAAGAATCTAACGATTAAAATATTTCTGTCAGTTTATGGGCAGGATGCTGAATCAACGGCACTTGTTGACGTCCGAGTTCCTCTTTTCATCTTTGCTTGAACATATTTCAATAATATATAGATTTAGCCAGGACTAAAAGCGAAGCTCCAATTAATAAATTTATAATTTAAATCAAACAATAAACTTTTAATCCACAATTCAGTTAACTTAAGGGCGCATTCATGTGACTTTTGAGGGAAAGGCTAAGTTATTTTAGAGTGAAACATCTTACATCGAATTGATAACCTTATATGTACACCCGAAAAATAGCAAACATCTTCGATCACATTCAAGATCACAGTAGATTACGCCTCGAAAATAAATTCGTGGAAAACAAATCACGCCGAATTTTTTTGCGTTCGACAGGTTTACTTTACAATTCTTGCCAACAAATCTGGGGTGTTTTAAACCAACCTTTTATAATTTTTATACATCACATTTGAGGTGAAACAGTACTATTTAGTATACAGACCTCGGAAAGAACGCGGTATTTCACAGTTTTTCAAGACAAATTGCACTCAGTCAATATTCAGGACGATCAATCGTGGGCTTTAAGCGAAACCGTTCAAAAATTTCCAAAATCACCCATACGGCCAGCTGGTTCGATTCTCATTTCTATAGTGCGAGCTGTCAGCGTGGTCGAGTGTTTGAATGAACTTTAATAGAGTTACGCTTCAACATAATAGCGAATTTATTATCATCATTTTTTTGTTATTTAATGGTTTCAGTTATAGCGATGTGTAATCTTATAAAGCGTTTGATACGCGCGACAGTTTTGAGTACTACTGCAAGCGATGGTCATGAACGATGAAAACAAACGGCACGGACAAGCGATTAAAATTGCAAGAGAGACTACTAACAATCAAAAAAAGAAATATAATTCGGTGAAACGTTTACAGAGACAACAATTTTCATTCACGAAGACAAGTACTAAAGTGTCTCTAAAAATCCTGAGTCTTTAAGGTGGCTCCGTAATTGATACAAGAGCATTTAGCTGTGACAAATTTTCCGTCATAACTTTTTCGATTTTAACGCGATGGCTGCGAAACTTTACAAAAAACAACAGATATCATTCGGCAATAAAACGGAATATTTCGATTTCATTGATCATTGATGGTAAATATTTCTTGAGAAATTAGCGCTTATAAGGACCCTACTGTTCAAAGAAAATCGCGTCTAGTAAAAAATTTTGCTGATATTTTTTACTGAAATTTCTGGTATCGACTTTAATTGATATAATAAATATGCCAGAGGAATTTCAGAAAAATCGTTGGAGCAGAAGTCCGTGACTAAAAGTCGCTCAAAATTCAGCTGTGAAATTGTTTTGGAATTTCAAAAATAAATTACTATCAGGAAGAAGGAGACACCAGTTTGAATTTTCGGGACAAGTAAATTCAGTGATTGCTAATTCTGAAAACAGAAGCCGATTGCCTATCGTGCTATTCTTTAAAAGGTACTTTTCAGTTTTAGATGCACTATAAATTGCTCCAAACTTTGCGTTGACGTCGAATGACTTGTTCCTCGACATTTTTAAAATATCCCTTGGCAGTTTTGGTTCAAACTCCTGCTACATACATTTTGATGTATTGCAATGCATCCTCAACGGCTTTTCCTGCTGTACGTTGTTTCCAATTCAGGAAAAAGGTATTGGGATTGTAAGCTACCTTGTATCGAAGCCCAGATAGAACTGTCCAGCACCTTTGTTTATGACCAGAAAATGAGCACGAGCGGCAGCCCTGCGAGGAATTCGCACCTCAGTCAGGGGGGACGAATGACAATGATGCCCATGTCTGTGAACCGATCTGTATAAACATGTATTGCAGAGCAAAACATAATAATCAAGAAAAAAATACCCATTCATTGAACGAAGGAGTGACAAAAATTTCAGAGTTGTAAATTTATTCACGGACAGTATTTTTGCGATAATTTTATTTTGCACTGTGATGTTATTCGGTTCACAGGCAGGGTTATCATTGTCGTTCGTCCCCCCTGGGTGAGGTGCGAATTCCTCGCAGAACTGCCGCTCGTGCTCATTTTCCAGTCATAAACAAAGGTGCTGGAGAGTTCTATCTGAGCTCTGATACAAGGTAGCGTCCAATGTCAATACTTTTTTCCTGAGTTGGAAGCAACGAACAGCAGTAAAAGTCGTTGAAAATGCATTGCAATACATCAAAATGTATGCAGCAGGAGTTTGAGCCAAAACTGTCAGGGGACATTTTAAAACTGTCGAAGAACAAGTCATTCTACTTCAGAGCAAGGTTTGGAGTAATTTATAGTGCTTCTAAAACTAAAAAGTACCTTTTAAAGAATAGCACGATATGCAATCGGCTTTTGTTTTAAGAATTAGCAAACGTTGAATTTACTTGTCCCGAAAATTCAAACTGGTGGCTCCTTCTCCCTGATAGTAATTTATTTTTGAAATTCCAAAACAATTTCACAGCTGAATTTTGAGCGACTTTTAGTTACGGACTTCTGCTCCAACGATTTTTCTGAAATTCCTCTGGCATATTTATTATATCAATGAAAGGCGATACCAGAAATTTCAGTAAAAAATACCAGCAAAATTTTTTACTAGACGCGATTTTCTTTGAACAGTAGGGTCCTTTTAAGCGCTAATTTCTCAAGAAATATTTACCATCAATGAAATCGGAATATTTCGTATTATTGCCGAATGATATCTGTTTCTGTTTGCAAAGTGTCACAGCCATCCCGTTAAAAACCAAAAAGTTATGACGGAAAATTTGTCACAGCAAAATGCTCCAGTATAAATTACGGAGCCACCTTAAGCGTAAAACTTAAGCAGGGCTTCCCGGCGCGGTGTTTACTGTTTTCCAAGGTGAACTCCTCGAAGCAAGAAAATCGCTCAAAGTTTTCTTTCTACACCCAAATTTATAACTAAATATTCTTCAGAACGTTTTCTTTCTATTTGCGGTGAGCAAATATATCTGAAGGCTTTTTAAAGTTCTGTAAGCTTATATCAAACCTGATACTAAGTCAGATCATTGACTCAAATCCTACAAACGTGCATAAACTTGCCGCATAAACTGTCAGCGTGAACTGTGCAAGTCTTCATGAAATTAGATACAACAAAAACAAACATCAAATACAATCATTACTCAGGCTTACCATTCGAGATTCAGTTCCTGAAAGCTATCAAGGAAGGCCACAGTTGCTTGAGACTTTTAAACCCTCTTACGCATTAAGCAAGGTGAAAAACGAAAACGATGCCATCCGAAATCGAATTACGGAATTTTGACAAGCGACGCATTTCTCAACCAAAAACCCAGTAAACAAACCAGCCATGAATAACAGAAGACTCTTGATAGCAGCTGTATTTCATTTTGTACATCCAGAGGAAAAAGACAGTTAAAAACATCACAGATTGACACAAAACTCTGTCAGCTTCAGCTGTCAAAGTAAACAACTTTCAAGATGCTTCATAATTTTTCCGCGTGAACTCACCTGTCAAATTTTGACCAATCAGAGTATAAAAATTGGACGTAGAGCGTGACCAACGCGTGACCATGGTAAGATAAGGGGCGCGATCCATTCAACCAAAATTCCAACCGGTCCGACCGGGAAAAGTGGTCCACCTCAAAAGGTGGACCCGTTTTTTCGAAACTTTTCCGGTTGGACCGAACCGATCCATTGAGTTTTGGACCGAAATTTCCGGAAATTTTGGTTCAATGGATCACACCCAAGGTCTTCCTCGCCTGTACTTTAAAAAAACTGGCTGAATTTTTGCGTCCGAGGTCAGTTTGAAATCAAAATCCTAATAGTGCATGACCGTAGTGACATAACACAACATATTTGATATGAATCATTGGAAAAAATAAACTTGAGCCTGCTATCATTTGAAACTGGTAATTTGTCAGCAGATAACTTCAAAAAATAGTCGACCTCGATGGGTCGACACTTGAGCCCGCGGTACGGTCAGGTGATACTGGTCAGCGGATGCCCTGTTTTGACAGCTGTCAATTGATCACAACATTGATGTACAATTAGTTTTCTCTTGGGCTCCCTAATTAGCTAAAAAGTGTGAGAGTAAACATTGCTTTTCCTGTGGTGCGGACGGACGGTTGGCGGTCGGTGTACGGTCACGTGATTACCAAATTTTCTGGGATGGGAAGATTTACTTAGCTATGGTGCTCCGCCCACGCGCGAAGCGCCGCTCGTGGAGCTCCGCTATTAGTTTACCTACTGTTGGAATATCTCATGTTTTCCTTTTAAAATCTTGCTTCGTCCGGTCTCGCCTAACTACTGCCATAGATAAAGATGATTCTTTCCTTTTGTTCTAAGTTTTGTAGTCACTGCCAGAAGACCCCCATAACCGGGAAGGGTGAAGTGGATATTTATAGGGGAAGAATAGATCCGAAATCGGTGATGAATTCTACCATTTGTTGAACTGTAATCGCTCATCGCTTTCTCATGTAAGGGGTATTTTTTGGAGAGCCTATACTCAATAAATAGTAGTTTTACCAATATGTCTTGCAAGGCACTATTTTTATATATCAAGTCTCTGTGCGATGAAAACATCATAAATCTAAGTGCCTTTTATATTAAGAATATTCTAAATTGTTATAAATCGGAACTCTAATTTAGCCTTCTTAAAATACGAGTAGCGTAGAAGCCATACATACCCACGTAATTTTCTATCTTAATGTTCAATATATTGTTTGTTACACGTTCGTATTTTGAACAAGCTTTTTAGCTCTTTGGCGTAACGAGTTAAAATAAATGATTGATTGATTGATTGATTGTTGTTGTTCCTTTCTCATGCTTAACTTTTATTTTACTTTATTTCATTTGTTGTTATATTGATTGTTTTGGTACTGAAATCTTCATGTCGAAGATAAAGTAAAAAAATTTGTTGCTGTAGTTGTTGTTCACTATGATTCGAACAAATTCTGTCGCGAGATTTAAGAGCCCAGCATTTTGAATTCCCAGCTTCAATTCCTCTTCGTGCTCTATGGCAAAATGAAACTTTATCCCAAAATACCCACGGGGGTCCTGTTATATATTTGTAGGGGTTCATGACCAACTACCGTCATTTGTGTGGAGTCTCTTAACCAACTACATTGACCCTCCCCGCCCTGCGCATCCACTTGTCGTTCACCGAGAGTGTTTTACTGTTTCAATGTACATCTGCTCGTTGCTGTAATATATTATTCAGCAAATATATTTAAGCAATTCACTAAAGTATAATCCATGTTTTATTGAAGCGCCTCTTTTACAGTGTGGTTAATTACAAACTACAGTTACTCAGAATGCATGAAATTAGTGTTTTTCCTTTGCATTTTTCTAACAGTAATGTTACTTGATTTTAACTGTTTTAATGCTACATGTCTATTGTTGGAGACAAAGACTTCACTTGACACAAGTACAAAGTACCAGAAATATCTCAAAAATCTTTTGGACGTATCTTCATCTCGGACTTCTTGACCGAGTAGTGAGCTTTTTTCCAATGTTGCCAGTCCATTCCTTTAGGGTCGTTCTTACCATTGAGGTACAGACCATTCAGATTGGACCGGTGACAATTGTTGTGCCACCAGGCGCCTGTATAAATCAAGGCACAGTTTCCACCGCTGTACTTGTCATTATCACGATCCTTGGTGGAAAATGGCATACCACGATGATAACCAAGGGAATCACCAGCGGTACCTATCAAAAGAAAAAAATGCGAAATATAGGTGTTCGGTTAGTTTTTTGTAGAGTTTTTGCATCCTGTAAATTGGACTTTCTGCAACAATAATTTCTACGCTAATGTACCTATGTAGATCGGACGAAACACTTCTGAACGATTAGATATTAAAATTGACAAATAAGGAATATTACAGAGTCATGTTATCAGTTAAATCACCAAACTCAGTGGTGTGCACAAACTGGTAGAGATTGCGTTGCGGCTAAAAATGCAGTAAAATCCTGTATCACTTTCCTTAACTCACTCTAATTTTGTCTGCAGCATACATATGTATCATTGGAGGGGTTAATTTAGATATCACATTCTGGGCCCAGTTGTTCGAACGCCGGTTAGCGCTAGCCCCGGGTTAAATTTTAACCCGGGGTTCGTTTTATTTTTATCCAAAGCACTCTCTCGGATAATTTTCTCTATTCTTTTTAGAGTATCCAGTCATCAAATTGTTGGCAAACAGAATTTAACTGAATTTGCTTTTGAAGCTCTCATATCTGAGTTCAAATTTCGCACTAACCCTGGGTTACCTTAACCCAGCTTCGAACAACCCGGCCCAGAATACTATATCTTCTGAACTCTATATATGAGAGCTGAGTTTTGATGCGAGTCCATGTCAAGGGTATTGTTCCCTTAATTTGTATTGTAAGGAAAAGTGGAGTTGTTTCGTCTTTGAGGCTTTCGAGATATTAGTGTTTCCTGTCAACAGAGCTTCAACAATGAAGTCCACAGAAACTACTGCATGAGGTCCTATGATGGACTCTCTCTTAGCATATTAAACTGCAATCCAATCAATCGGTGACAGACAGTTGTAATGAACGCCATTATATTTTGGTATTGGATATGAAACAGCAAAAAAAAAAAGATAAAGAAAGAAAAAAAAATCAGTATTATGACATTGCAAAGAAGGTTAATTGCCGTTGTATATAAAAATCACTTTCCAGTTGCGATCAATTGCGATTAAGTATCTACAATAGCTTATAATGTTTTTCTCTCTAACTTTTCTTTTCGTTGTTTCACAGCATTTTTTTTTTCGCCGACTGATTCTTGTTTTAGTCGATGGAAGTTAACTAACCTGAATAACTTCCCAAACTCAGTTGATATTTCGCTCTCTCGCTTGTCACAGAAAAGGAGCTGTACTCGGCAAATGCAGTTTTTTCATGAATGTCTTCCAAGTCGATACGAAGTTTATAACCACCGCTTACAGTCTGCCGATGTATCTTGTCCAAACCGAGCCAGAACTCACCGTTCAGATTACCAAAACCGCGTTTGTAATCATCCCAAGCGCGGAAGAAATCAACAGAGCCATCTCGCCTCTTCTGAAACACCGTCCAACCTCCACCGGCAGTTTTCTGATCACAGAACACTTCAAATTCGCCCAAACCATCAGGGTTGATTTTGTACACTCCACTGATCTTGTCCCCGGACTTGTAGACTTCAGCGCAGTTCTTGTAAACTGAAAACAAAATGACGATCCAGTAATTATTATGCCTTACACTCTTGGGGAATGCCTTCAATAATCTTTTTTTTTGAGAAAATGGTCTTATGAATGACTGACAAAATAAGAATTAGTATTTCCGTGACATTTTGCGAGAGGTTTTGACGGTATTTTAGCTACTGACAATCAGGATACCCTTTGCTCATTTGTAGCAGAAATTAAGTTGCTGTTACAAACCTTTTCCGTTGCCAGTCCCAGTAGTTTTATTTTCTCTCAATGCCCTGATTTCTTGTCGTATTTCCTCCAGTTGTTGCTCGATTTTCTTACAGTTTGGTCCGGCGTAAAAGCTGTTGTAGTTATTATTCACATTACACCGAGCTTCCTTCGTCGGTTTTACTGTAGAGTTGGCAAGTGCCGAGATGAGGCAAGTGAGCAGTGAAGTTCCAAAGAAATATTTCATCTTAACTTCTTAGTATGAACCGTTTTGGGATTCGGAAGAACTGTCCTACATGTACGATGGACAAAGTGTTAGAGACGAAATGATACTAAAACTTCCGCAGATGCTTCGTATTGCTTCTGATTTTTCAAAACAAGATTTTTCTCGTCTGTGTATCTTTAGTGAGGGGTTTCGTCATCTATTATTGCGATTACCGATAAAGCATTAAATTATTCAACACTTACACAGAGCATCGTGTGGCCGAACAATAAATATCTTGTTTATATCTCTTTATTTTCGTTTTTATTGTAGAGGAATTAACGGCGTACTATCTTAAAATTGTAGTTTTAAGCTTCGTGTGGATGTGTAAAATAGTGATAACATATTTTTGTCAGTTTATGGAGGGGTTTTAATAGCAATTTCAGCAATCATAGCGCTACACTGTACAGTATTGTTAAACCACTGTCAGTATGAAGCTATCTTTATTTTTAAAGCGTCGCAGTCACTCCAGAATACTGGGAAGGAGTAGGTAGATAGGGAAGTAGAGCACTCTTTAAATTAACACGTTATCTTAAAAATGCTTAACCATTCGTGTGTAGCCTGCAAATACAACCGCCTCTTAGTGCTCGCTCCCTTCTACTGGGACTTTTTGCGAATGGCGGGGAGCTATGAGAGACGGCTTTATTGACAGGGTAGCTCGTGTGGAACTCAGACTGAGCGGATAAACGCAAAAACTCAAGTATTACTGCACACCTGCGCTTCTTATAACATAATTCAATATTTACTGAATATTGGCGAGACCATCTACTCTCACTAAAAAATGCCGAACTGAAGGAACTCGTGGAAGCAATGTTTACAAAAAAAACTGGTATGTAACAGTTTACTAAAGCGCTTTTTATTTGCAAGTTTTGATTTCCGCAACAGCCATTTTATTTGACTTCGCTAAATTTGATACAAATTTCCGTGGGCCAAATTGAACCATTTCGAAGACTATCCTTGATAAGCAAACTTCTAAGCAAAACAAATGACTTTTTCCTCCTCTGGTTCGTGATAACTGGCAAGTAACACAATCTATCACAAGACAACCGAGTATTAAATTATAAATTCAATTACACGCTCTTTTTCGGACGGAAAAGCACTCCCCCGTCGTCAATTTAGAGAGAAGTGGATGGGTAATGGAAGACAGGCTCCTGGATCCATAGAAAACAAAAAGAGAATTCTAAGGACAAACCAGGAAGTTACTATTTTTTACAGGCGATTAAAAATATTAAACAGAGGAAAAGTGCGCAAGATATTTTTTATTTCTATTCCGGTCAGTAAATAATTCTATTGTTAAGTTTTACGTTTTTTTTCCCGTTCATAAACTACAAGCACAAGTATTCAGAGTTTCCTTTCAAAATAAACTTGACAAAGAATTGACGAATTCTATAACTAAAGTTAAAAACACAGCATTCAATGTCGAAGGATTTCAGTTTAAATTCCCATCGCGCTCTATAATAAAGCAAAATGTGTCCAAAAATTCTCACGGGGGTCCTGTTATATTTTCGAGGGGTCCCTTTGGGTATAGAAGTACACCAGGAACGTCGATCTTATTATTTTCTGTTTTTTAAATGCATCTGTTCCAGAAACCCATAGTTGGAGCACCAATTAAGATTGACACTCCTAACTGTAATAATTGGAAATTGTTCCATTTCACTGAGATTAACATTTGCCTTCAGCAAAAATGTCACGACGTCTCGCTGTCCTTAAGAAAAAGAAAACATCCTCATTTAATGATACACATAATTCAACTCCTGTAGGGACATTGGCAATAAATCCTTGGGATTAACTATATTATTGCCCACTAACGTAATCAATTTGAAACAAACTGCTCCCTAAGTGTCACTCCAGAGAAGAGAAATCAAATCATACAGGACATGTCACGCACTACATGTCACAACATCTCCTATTTTCACGAACGTCTTGATTTTGGCGGCAAAGCCGGCGGAACAGAGTCTTCTTGGTTGGACATTTCCGCATGTCTTGTCATTGGCTCATTCCCTGGGGGCATTCTAGGGGGGATGGGAGGAGGGGATCGTCTGGTCCCCCTACTTGGCTCCCTTGGGGGAATTTGGGGTGCAGCCTCGTTGTCATCCGCAAGGTGAGGGAACCTTTCTAATGTCGTTGCCCTCGGTGGTATTCGGGGAACACTACTAAGGGACATTTGCCGTCGAACAGAAGAGACGTTTTCAGTTGGTCTCACTGGACCGTTTGCCGAGGCAGATCGAGGCTTTCTTGGGGGTAAATTCGGAGGAAGCGGCTCTTTTTCCGGAAAGTGCTCGATGATGACGTAATCTGGTTCCGTATCCTCCAACATTGGAGTCTCGGGAATTGTTTCTGGGACAGTGTCCGAAGGGAGGAAGGACGACATCGATTGAGGAGTTCGTGGAGTGCTCGGCGATAACGAAACAGTTGACGGGAACATGTCGCTATCGGGTAGGTAGATGGACGATGCTTGTGAGGCCGAGACTGAAGGTATGAGGGCTTGGTTCCAGGAGACCTGAGTGAATATTCTGTTTTTCGAGGCTGTGAAAAAACAAATACCAGTGAAAATAACGTACCATCAAAATGCTGTCAGTAGTGGGGTGCAAGTGCTTTTCATCAAAAGCAAAATTTCGGTCACCCTGTTCAGCAGAAATATGCAAGCATGGCCTGACACTAAAGGCAAACGTCCCCAGCGGCGAAGAGCGAAGGAGAAACGGATGTTTTCACAGGCTAGAGGAGTTTAGCGGCTCGGAAAGTGTTTTCTATAATCCATTTTTTAACGATCCTATAGAGGTTTTGTGCAAAGTAGACCAACATACTTCTTGATTTGTATAGCTTACAAAATTTTCCAAAAATCACATTCGTGCAAATGAACTTTGTGCACAAATAGTTTTCGGGACCAAAATATTATTGGGAGTTTTGAGAGACGCACGCCAGGTTTGTATGAGTTCGTTCAATGGTTCTCGACTTTCATGCTTTACCAACTTTTCACAGTTTCGAGGTTCAATATCTAAAGAAAGTTGGTACAAATAGTCTTCCATTTCAGTGTCAGTTCGTCCTTTAAATGGATCAAGCGTCTCTAGATACTCCTACGAAAGAAAACACTCACAAGTATGAACACTACAGATTGAATGAGTTAAAGCTGAAAAAAAAACAACGGCTTTCAATCCACCTTATTGCAAACTAATGGTCAATTTAGTTGCTCTTAAGTCGGGAGTCTACGTGATAATCGACCCTCAACTTTCTCCTCCCCATAGGCTCCCGCTGAGTACCTCATAAAAAGAAAAAAAATCGAAAAATAGTAATCGCCGCGCGACCGTCGCGCGCTTTCTTTTTCTCTCCCCCCAGTCTCCCTAAGACACAAAGAGACCTCTGCAGAAGAGAAAGGACCCTCAATGTCTCGTTTCAAGGTAAATGTTCTATAAGTTCTGCAGATGCAATCAAGGAAAGAGGGCTAATTAACACAAATATTAAAGAAAAGTAATAATGCCGTCATTTTGGAGTAAGATATAATTACATTTCAGACGTCAATTTTACAATTTTATCGACAGACTTAAAGGTTGGGTCATCCCCGGTGTAATATAATTTATTCGTTTTCCTTGTTTTATGGACTATTGTCAGGGTTGCGTTCATTGTTAAGGACGTTTTGTTTTCTTTGTTTTACGTCAGCTGTGGGTAATAAACTATCTTACACCGGAGATGAGCCAAACAGTTAGAACCACCTTGTACAACGTAAAAAACAGTACCACAGGAGGTGGGCTGAATAGTCACACTTGAGGATTACATTTACATTTACATATAGAGCGATTTTCGTATGATCTTGAAAAATGGCTTCGGCAAGCGTTCGTTATTTGTTTTAAGAGCCAGTGGATGAAAAGATCAAAACATGGCCTCTTCGTTTTCCCGCTAAAGAAAAAAAAAACACCCTAATATGGAGAAGGCACTGTTCGACTGACCAATCGTGTTGCAGTATGACGTGAAAGCGAGGTAATGGATGATTTCTAGAAAGTTCTAAAGGCATGAAGTTTTTTCATCCGAGCGTTCGCTTAACCAACCAAAGCCACGCGCGTTTGTATCCGTTCGAGAAACCAATCATATCGCTCTATTTCCGTTCTTTTGTACGTTATTTCTCGCGCTTGGAAGCTGCACTGGATCCGCTGTGAGATTAGATTGGTTCATTTGATTACCTGAATTGGTCATAGCAATTGCTTTGCCACTTGCCAAAGATATCGGTTTTAAAATTCCTTGACTTTTCCCTGACAAAAATAAAATATCCCTGACCAAAGAAATACAAAATGTAACGTACAGTAGCGGCATCTATTCTCCTCTTACAGATCTCCTTTCTACTTTCGCTCCTTTTTTTATGAATGTGTAAAGCTTGAAACCAATATAATTCTGGAAAGCGATAGTTCGTATTAATGAAAGAAATCGTTAAGATAACAGTGACCTGAAATAATTCTTCCTGCTTCTTACATTTTTAAATTTTCCCATTCTCGAAATATAATCCTTTACTTTTCTCCGCCGGGAGTTTGAAGAAATTACTTCCTCAAAAGGTGCGTCCGAATGCGGAATATCTTTCTAATTCGGACAACGCCTATTGTCCTCAA